TTACAGGGCAACAAGGGATGGCATGTTGGTTACAGGGCAACAAGGGATGGCATGTTGGTTACAGGGCAACAAGGGATGGCATGTTGGTTACAGGGCAACAAGGGATGGCATATTGGTTACAGGGCAACAAGGGATGGCATGTTGGTTACAGGGCAACAAGGGATGGCATGTTGGTTACAGGGCAACAAGGGATGGCATGTTGGTTACAGGGTAACAAGGGATGGCATGTTGGTTACAGGGTAACAAGGGATCGGTTACAGAGTAATAAGGGATGGCATGTTGGTTACAGGGCAACAAGGGATGCCATGTTGGTTATAGGGCAACAGGGGATGGCATGTTGGTTACAGGGCAACAAGGGATGGCATGTTGGTTACAGGGCAACAAGGGATGGCATGTTGGTTACAAGGGAAAAAGGGATGGCATGTTGGTTACAGGGCAACAAGGGATGGCATGTTGGTTACAGGGCAACAAGGGATGGCATGTTAGTTACAGGGCAACAAGGGATGGCATGTTGGTTACAGGGCAACAAGGGATGGCATGTTGGTTACAGGGCAACAAGGGATGGCATGTTGGTTACAGGGTAACAAGGGATGGCATGTTGGTTACAGGGCAACAAGGGATGGCATGTTGGTTACAGGGCAACAAGGGATGGCATGTTGGTTACAGGGTAACAAGGGATGGCATGTTGGTTACAGGGCAACAAGGGATGCCATGTTGGTTATAGGTCAACAGGGGATGGCATGTTGGTTACAGGGTAACAAGGGATGGCATGTTGGTTACAGGGCAACAAGGGATGGCATGTTGGTTACAGGGCAACAAAGGATGGCATGGCATGTTGGTTATAGGGTAACAAGGGATGGCATGTTGGTTACAGGGTAACAAGGGATGGCATGTTGGTTACAGGGCAACAAGGGATGGCATGTTGGTTACAGGGCAACAAGGGATGGGATGTTGGTTACAGGGTAACAAGGGATGGCATATTGGTTACAGGGTAACAAGGGATGGCATGTTGGTTACAGGGCAACAAGGGATGGCATGTTGGTTATAGGGCAACAAGGGATGGCATGTTGGTTACAGGGCAACAAGGGATGGCATGTTGGTTACAGGGCAACAAGGGATGGCATGTTGGTTACAGGGCAACAAGGGATGGCATGTTGGTTACAGGGCAACAAGGGATGGCATGTTGGTTACAGGGCAACAAGGGATGGCATATTGGTTACAGGGCAACAAGGGATGGCATGTTGGTTACAGGGCAACAAGGGATGGCATGTTGGTTACAGGGCAACAAGGGATGGCATGTTGGTTACAGGGTAACAAGGGATGGCATGTTGGTTACAGGGTAACAAGGGATCGGTTACAGAGTAATAAGGGATGGCATGTTGGTTACAGGGCAACAAGGGATGCCATGTTGGTTATAGGCAACAGGGGATGGCATGTTGGTTACAGGGCAACAAGGGATGGCATGTTGGTTACAGGGCAACAAGGGATGGCATGTTGGTTACAGGGTAACAAGGGATGGGATGTTGGTTACAGGGTAACAAGGGATGGCATGTTGGTTACAGGGCAACAAGGGATGGCATGTTGGTTACAGAGCAACAAGGAATGGCATGTTGGTTACAGGGCAACAAGGGATGGCATGTTGGTTACAGGGCAACAAGGGATGGCATGTTGGTTATAGGGTAACAAGGGATGGCATGTTGGTTACAGGGCAACAAGGGATGGCATGTTGGTTACAGGGCAACAAGGGATGGCATGTTGGTTACAGGGCAACAAGGGATGGCATGTTGGTTACAGGGTAACAAGGGATGGCATGTTGGTTACAGGGCAACAAGGGATGCCATGTTCGTTACAGGGCAACAAGGGATGCCATGTTGGTTACAGGGCAACAAGGGATGGCATGTTGGTTACAGGGGCAACAAGGGATGGGATGTTGGTTATAGGGTAACAAGGGATGGCATGTTGGTTACAGGGCAACAAGGGATGGCATGTTGGTTACAGGGCAACAAGGGATGGCATGTTGGTTACAGGGTAACAAGGGATGGCATGTTGGTTACAGGCAACAAGGGATGGCATGTTGGTTACAGGGCAACAAGTGGCATGTTGGTTACAGGGCAACAAGGGATGGCATGTTGGTTACAGGGTAACAAGGGATGGCATGTTGGTTATCAGGGCAACAAGGGATGGCCATGTTGGTTATAGGTCAACAAGGGGATGGCATGTTGGTTACAGGGTAACAAGGGATGGCATGTTGGTTACAGGGCAACAAGGGATGGCATGTTGGTTACAGGGCAACAAAGGATGGCATGGCTGTTGGTTATAGGGTAACAAGGGATGGCATGTTGGTTACAGGGTAACAAGGGATGGCATGTTGGTTACAGGGCAACAAGGGATGGCATGTTGGTTACAGGGTAACAAGGATGGCATAGTTGGTTACAGGGTAACAAGGGATGGCATTTTGGTTACAGGGGCAACAAGGGATGGCATGTTGGTTATAGGGCAACAAGGGATGGCATGTTGGTTACAGGGCAACAAGGGATGGCATGTTGGTTACAGGGCAACAAGGGATGGCATGTTGGTTACAGGGCAACAAGGGATGGCATGTTGGTTACAGGGCAACAAGGGATGGCATGTTGGTTACAGGGCAACAAGGGATGGCATGTTGGTTACAGGGCAACAAGGGATGGCATATTGGTTACAGGGCAACAAGGGATGGCATGTTGGTTACAGGGCAACAAGGGATGGCATGTTGGTTACAGGGCAACAAGGGATGGCATGTTGGTTACAGGGTAACAAGGGATGGCATGTTGGTTACAGGGTAACAAGGGATCGGTTACAGAGTAATAAGGGATGGCATGTTGGTTACAGGGCAACAAGGGATGCCATGTTGGTTATAGGGCAACAGGGGATGGCATGTTGGTTACAGGGCAACAAGGGATGGCATGTTGGTTACAGGGCAACAAGGGGATGGCATGTTGGTTACAGGGTAACAAGGGATGGGATGTTGGTTACAGGGTAACAAGGGATGGCATGTTGGTTACAGGGCAACAAGGGATGGCATGTTGGTTACAGGGCAACAAGGAATGGCATGTTGGTTACAGGGCAACAAGGGATGGCATGTTGGTTACAGGGCAACAAGGGATGGCATGTTGGTTATAGGGTAACAAGGGATGGCATGTTGGTTACAGGGCAACAAGGGATGGCATGTTGGTTACAGGGCAACAAGGGATGGCATGTTGGTTACAGGGCAACAAGGGATGGCATGTTGGTTACAGGGTAACAAGGGATGGCATGTTGGTTACAGGGCAACAAGGGATGCCATGTTCGTTACAGGGCAACAAGGGATGCCATGTTGGTTACAGGGCAACAAGGGATGGCATGTTGGTTACAGGGCAACAAGGGATGGGATGTTGGTTATAGGGTAACAAGGGATGGCATGTTGGTTACAGGGCAACAAGGGATGGCATGTTGGTTACAGGGCAACAAGGGATGGCATGTTGGTTACAGGGCAACAAGGGATGGCATGTTGGTTACAGGGCAACAAGGGATGGCATGTTGGTTACAGGGTAACAAGGGATGGCATGTTGGTTACAGGGTAACAAGGGATGCCATGTTGGTTACTGGGCAACAAGGGATGGCATGTTGGTTACAGGGTAACAAGGGATCGGTTACAGAGTAATAAGGGATGGCATGTTGGTTACAGGGCAACAAGGGATGCCATGTTGGTTATAGGGCAACAGGGGATGGCATGTTGGTTACAGGGCAACAAGGGATGGCATGTTGGTTACAGGGCAACAAGGGATGGCATGTTGGTTACAGGGTAACAAGGGATGGGATGTTGGTTACAGGGTAACAAGGGATGGCATGTTGGTTACAGGGCAACAAGGGATGGCATGTTGGTTACAGGGCAACAAGGAATGGCATGTTGGTTACAGGGCAACAAGGGATGGCATGTTGGTTACAGGGCAACAAGGGATGGCATGTTGGTTATAGGGTAACAAGGGATGGCATGTTGGTTACAGGGCAACAAGGGATGGCATGTTGGTTACAGGGCAACAAGGGATGGCATGTTGGTTACAGGGCAACAAGGGATGGCATGTTGGTTACAGGGTAACAAGGGATGGCATGTTGGTTACAGGGCAACAAGGGATGCCATGTTCGTTACAGGGCAACAAGGGATGCCATGTTGGTTACAGGGCAACAAGGGATGGCATGTTGGTTACAGGGCAACAAGGGATGGGATGTTGGTTATAGGGTATCAAGGGATGGCATGTTGGTTACAGGGCAACAAGGGATGGCATGTTCGTTACAGGGCAACAAGGGATGGCATGTTGGTTACAGGGCAACAAGGGATGGCATGTTGGTTACAGGGCAACAAGGGATGGCATGTTGGTTACAGGGCAACAAGGGATGGCATGTTGGTTACAGGGTAACAAGGGATGGCATGTTGGTTACAGGGCAACAAGGGATGGCATGTTGGTTACAGGGCAACAAGGGATGGCATGTTGGTTACAGGGCAACAAGGGATGGCATGTTTGTTACAGGGTAACAAGGGATGGCATGTTGGTTACAGGGCAACAAGGGATGGCATGTTGGTTACAGGGCAACATTGGTTACATGGTAACAACCCATGGCATGTTGACAATGACGTCGAAAATAGGGCCCGAGAAATTGTTGCTGCTTAGATATCTACATGCGTGCAACAAACACACACACACACACACACACACACACACACACACACACACAAATACACAGCACACATACACACACACATACACACACACATACATGCACGCACACACAGATGCACACATACACAAACACACACACACATGCACACACACACGTACACACACACACACACACACACACACACGCATGCGCACGCACGCAAAAAGGCACAAACCAGACCGCCACCCCTCACATGCGGTGTTAGTGACATGCCACCCGCACGAGCATACAGAGAGATCACAGAAGGATAACACTAAGGTCTCCTCAGCTCAAAGTCCCAAAAGGGGGCAGTGCGCCTCACTGGGGGCAGTGCGCCTCACAGGGGGGTAGTGCGCCTCACAGGGGGCAGTGCGCCTCACAGGGGGCAGTGCGCCTCTCAGGGGGCAGTGCGCCTCACAGGGGGCAGTGCGCCTCACGGGGGGCAGAGCGCCTCACAGGGGGCAGTGCGCCTCACAGGGGGCAGTGCGCCTCACAGGGGGCAGTGCGCCTCACAGGGGGCAGTGCGCCTCACAGGGGGCAGTGCGCCTCACAGGGGGCAGCGCGCCTCACAGGGGGCAGTGCGCCTCACAGGGGGCAGCGCGCCTCACAGGGGGGCAGCGCGCCTCACAGGGGGCAGCGCGCCTCACAGGGGGCAGCGCGCCTCACAGGGGGAAGCGCGCCTCACAGCCTCACAGGGTGTTGAGGCGGACGAGGGTGGAGAGGGTAGAAGGCAAAGGTCCGAACATTTGATTCTGGCGCACATCACTGCACCGCAAGCGTGGGGCACAAGAGGAGGGGGGTGGGAGGGGAGGGGAATAGAGAGTGGGGGATGTGGTGGGTATTGGGAGGTGGGTGGGAGAGCATTGGAGTGGGGAGGAAGAGGTCCGGACAATTAGTTCTAGTGCACATCACTGCACCGTTGTGCACAAGAGGAGGGGGTGGGAGGGAAGAGGGGTAGGGAGTGGGGCGAGGGGAGAGGGCCGGACAGTTGGTTCAGGTGCACATCACTGCACAAGAGGTGCACATCACTGCACAAGAGGTGCACATCACTGCACAAGAGGTGCACATCACTGCACAAGAGGTGCACATCACTGCACAAGAGGTGCACATCACTGCACAAGAGGTGCACATCACTGCACAAGAGGTGCACATCACTGCACAAGAGGTGCACATCACTGCACAAGAGGTGCACATCACTGCACAAGAGGTGCACATCACTGCACAAGAGGTGCACATCACTGCACAAGAGGTGCACATCACTGCACAAGAGGTGCACATCACTGCACAAGAGGTGCACATCACTGCACCGCACGCATCGGGCACAAGAGGAGCGGGTGAGAGGGGGGAGGAATAGGGGAGGATGAGGTAGTGGGTGTTGGGACGTGGTGGGTGGGTCCAAACACTTTTGGTGCACATCACTGCACGCGTCGGGCACAAGAGGAGGGGCTCAAGGGAGGAGGGGTAGGGAGTTGGAGAGTGGAAAGGGCGGGTGGCAGAGGTCCGGACAGCTGGTTCTGGTGCACATCACTGCACGCGTCAGGCATAAGAGGAGGGGCCCAAGGGGAAGAGGTGGTACGGTGGAACGTGGGCGGAGTGAGAGGGCAGAGCATGAGAGTGAGAAATCAAAGAAGATGGGTGGAGAGTGGTGACGGGTGGAGAGTGGTGACGGGTGGAGAGTGGTGACAAGTGGAGAGTGGTGACGGGTTGAGTGGTGACGGGTGGAGGAGTGCACAAGAGGACGAGGTGGGAGGGGGTGGGACGGGGGACGGGTGGGGAGGGGGGGGTGTGGTGGTGGTATTGGGAGGTGAGAGAGCATGAGAGTGAGGAGGCAACGGAGTGAGTGACTGGTGGAGGGTGATGGGTGGAGTGGAGAGCGAGGTGGGTTGGGTGAAGGGGGGTTGCAGGGCGACAAACAGTGAGTGGAGGCGAATGAGGGGAGAGGAGGCGACTGAGAGGGAGAGGAGGCGACTGACAGGGAGTGGAGGTGCGAGAGGGAGGAGATGGGGATGGGCATGGAGACGGCTGACAGTGAGTAAGTGACTGACAGTGAGTGGAGACAGCTGACAGTGAGTAACTGACTGACAGTGAGTGGAGACGGCTGACAGTGAGTAACTGACAGACAGTGAGTGGAGACGGCTGACAGTTGAGTAACTGACTGACAGTGAGTGGAGACGGCTGACAGTAACTGACTGGCAGTGATTGGAGACGGCTGACAGGGAGAGGAGGTGGGGCAACTGACAGGGATTGAAGGCGCGAGAGGGCGGAGAGGGCAACAGGCAAGCGGCCGTTGAGGCCCCTGTTGGACACGTCTCTGCTCACCCAAAGAAAGAGAGCGGGGTGGAGAGGTGGGGACGGGCGGTGGGAGGGGAGGGATGAGTGAGCACGAGAACAAGAAACACGAGAGTGTTCGCATGTTGACACAGCATGCATGCATTACATGTTGACGCGGCATGCATGTTGACGCGGCATGCATGTTGACGCGGCATGCATGTTGACGCGGCATGCATGTTGACGCGGCATGCATGTTGACGCGGCATGCATGTTGACGCGGCATGCATGTTGACACGGCATGCATGTTGACACGGCATGCATGTTGACACGGCATGCATGTTGACACGGCATGCATGCGGCAGCGGCAACACAATGCATCTGTCCATGGCAAGCCTGTGCTCGACTCTTATACATGTGATGCCCTGCGCCTGCCTGCACTCCACGTCCTCCACTCAACCCGTCGCGCTCAAACTCCCCGAGTGCATCATGAATACCCTGATACTCGATTCCGCACTCACATGGACGTCACCATGCTGTCCCCGTCACATGTGATGCCCTGTGCCTGAGTGCACTCCGGGCCCACCCTGTCGCGCTCATTCCCCCCCCCCATCCCCCCTCGCGCTCATCCCCCCCACCCCCTCCCACTCACAGCGCCGTCACCATGCCGTCACTGTCGCATGTGATGCCCTGTGCCGGCGCGCACTCCATGCCCCGCGCCCACCTTGACGCTGCATTGACGCTCATCCCCCACTCCACCGCACACTCCTTCAGCGCCGCCACTGCGAGAGGTGCAGTGAGAGAGATACGCGCAGGCAGTGAGGGAGATACGCGCAGGCAGTGAGGGAGATACACGGTATGCACTCTTGTTGTGAAAAATACTACACAATCCTTCAGCGCCGCCACTGCGCGAGGTGCAGTGAGGGAGCTCAGTTTTTGCGTTTTAATCGTTGTAGTGGACTTAGAGCTCAGTTTCGATCTTGTTTTTTGAGCTGGCAACACAAGAGTTTTAACTCTACTGTTTTTCTTCTGCTAAAGAATTCTCCTAAGCTGCAGCTCGCCTAGTCTCATGGCTGCCGCCACTGGGCTTAGTTGGTATTGTACGTTTACGGTGGTTTACGTTTACGTGACTTTACGTAGTAAACTTACGTTTACTTACGTGGGCTAAAAAATGGCTTTACGTTTACGGTCAGCTAGAAACAGTTCTAACTGCCCGGAAATATAAGAAATCATCGGACTAAGTGGCTGCATGGGAAGCGCCTAATCTATCACTAGCTTGGTTCTTCTACGCCCAAGCATGTTAGCACATTATTACATCAACTTACAGATGCCCCAAATCTACACAAACATGTAGCAGCCTCTCCCACCTCATATCAGTCAGATTTTTTCGTTTCGCGGGCAAAAAAAAAAAATTTTGCCCTGCCCGTGCGACTTTACGTAAAATTACGCGTAAGAAAACGTAAAGGTAAACTCAAGCGTAAGTTTACGTTTACGTGACCCAAAAAAACGTAAAGTACCAACTAAGCCACTGGGCGAGGTGCAGTGAGGGAGATACATGGTATGCACGTTTGTAGTGAACTACGCACGGTAGAAATACTAATCTCATCCCCACTCTACCGCACACTCCTTCAGCGCCGCCACAGCGCGCAGTGAGGGATATACGTGTGCGCAGGCACGAGCGCGCAGTGAGGGAGGCGAGGTGCAGTGGACAGCGGGAATTCGGGACTTGGGAGGAGAGAGGGGGAGGGGGAGGGAGAGGGGGGAGGAGAGGAAGAGGGGATGGACGTCAATGCAAGAGTTCAGTTCTGCGCAAAACTGAAGTACAGCACAAGCTGGAGGGAAGGCCAGCGGGACAGCAGGCTCCAGTGCAAATCGTTAGCTCCGTGGTAGATGGAGAAGGGAGAGGAAAAGGGTGAGGGAGAGGGAGAGCGATTCTTGACACCCTCAGAAGCAGAAACTCGCCTCTGCAAGGGCTGTGCTCTGGAAGGGCTGTGCTCTGGAAGGGCTGTGCTCTGGAAGGGCTAGCAGAGCACAGGCGGATGACTAACAGAGCAGGCTCTTCAGCTCCAGAGGGCCCCCATCCTCCAGCCCCTCACTCCGCTGTGCCTACGTGGCTGGAGGCTGTGCCTACGTGGCGATGACTACCTCTGCTCCCCACAGCGGATGACTAGCGGAGCAGGCTCCTCAGCTCCAGAGGAGGCCCAAGTCCTGGGGAGCCCCTCACTCCGGCTCAGGCCGCCAAGCATCCAAGCCAAAGCATCACCGGCCCGCGCACCCCATGGGAAGGGACTACCCGCCCACAGCGGCCACTCTGGCCCCTCTCCCCACTCTGGCCCCTCTCCCCACGCCCTCCCATGCACCTGACCTGTCATTACACTCTGCTCTTGTGGCAAATTGTTAACTACCCGAGGCGCCTCAAAACTACCCGATCGGCCCCCACCCAGGCACTTCCTGTTATTGCTGGACCCCCTGGTGCAGGTCATGGTCATTCCTGCCTGCCCTGGCTGTATCCCATTATTTTGTGAAAGTGACTCCGTTCGATGGCGAGGGGAAATGGGCGAGGAGGTACTATGCGAGGATGGCAGGGGACGCCACCAAGGCGCGAGACTTGTCTTCCACTGGCTATGCCCCACTCTATTTTGTGAAAATGATGCTGGAGGGGGTTTTTTTTGAGAATTCTCAAAAAAACTCCACTGGCTATGCCCCACTCTATTTTGTGAAAATGACTCCGTCCGAGAGGGGAAGAGGGCGAGGGGAGGAGGTACTACGCGAGGATGGCAGGGGACGCCACCAACGCGCGAGATCAGCGCGAGGCGCAGCGCGAGAGCAGCGCGAGATCAGCGCGAGCGCAGCGCGGGAGCAGCGCGAGATCAGCGCGAGCGCAGCGCGAGAGCAGCGCGGAGCAGCGGGGGAGCAGCGCGAGAGCAGCTCGAGAGCAGCGCGAGAGCAGCTCGAGAGCAGCGCGAGAGCAGCGCGAGAGCAGCGCGAGCGCAGCGAGGGAAGCAGCGCGAGCGCAGCGAGGGAGCAGCGCGAGCGCAGCGCGATCGCAGCGGGACCGAGAGCAGTGCGAGGGCGCGGGAGCAGCGCGAGAGCAGCGCGTGCGCAACGAGAGAGCAGCCCGAGAGCAACGCGAAGGAAGGGTTCGTCGTTACAATGCGGTAACTGTCACGAGTACTAATGGAAGTCGCGCGAGTAGAGCGGAATAGAGGAGGGAGCGTGACTTGCTGCTGGTCGAGAGTAGTAAAAGCTACGTCTTGCGAGCGTGGCGCACCTTGGGAGTCGGCGAGAGTCACGGGCTGCACGACACGTGGCAGGAGGACTGGCGACGACCGCCGCTACTAGCCAGGGAAGGGCTGCGGCAACGATCTGCGATCGCGAGGTCCGCCTCGCGCGGCCCGTCATGGACGGCGAGCGGGTGTTGAAACGCCACGCGTCAACGTGAGAGCAACAACTGTTTTGCTCAGTAGCGGGGGATCAGGGTAACGGCGTCCACCCGCTGGCCACGAGCAAAACGACGAAACCATGGCTGGGCACTCGGCCGCTCACCCGAATCGGCTTTCGGCGGCCGAGCCTTGGCCCCGAGGCGTGGCTGATGGCCCAAAACCAAGTTAGCCGGGCCTCTCTGACGCAGCAATCACGCCACTCTGACGTGGCCCGGGCCACACTGACGCGGCTAGGTGGGACCTTGGGACCGAACCGCCGAGCAGGTTCGGGAAAGGGCCCCATCGCGCGAACCACGTCTAGTTACCCGTATTACTCATATGTTTGCTCGCGAAAGTCGTTTCGTATGTGTTTCATGCTACTTCAACATTTTCCAATAGCGAGGTAGAAAATCACCCCGACACTATTTGTGTATGGCATGGCCTCTAGTTAGTGGCACTCTCCATTGTACCTATCGCTCTTATCGCGTACGGTAGCTTGTTGTCGGCCTTGTGACTGTTTCCCTCTATGGTTGATGCAAACTGGCGCCAATAAGGGCGTATTCAGCACTTCGGGTCATCAGCACTTCGGGTCATCCGAGATTGTGGATCCAATCGGAAAATCGGAATGCACCCCAATCTCTTGATTCCGAATTTCCGATTGGATCCCACAATTTCGGATGGCCCGAAGTGCTGATGACCCGAAGTGCAGGAATACGCCCTAATTGTGAGGCTTGATCGCCTTCCTGCGAACTTGGGACAGGACAGCCCCCAAAAGTACAACTATCTGGGTCCAGCGTGGCAGATTTCACGTTGCTTCCACGCTGCTTTCACACTCTCACCTACTCTCCAGTGTAGGATCAAAATTTCCTGCACGACTCCATCTACGATCTGTGATCGCATCTCAAACCTAGTTGGTCAAGCCCAACCGTCCGATCATGAGGGGTGTTCGCACGTTGGGGACCTCTGAACAATTGCGACGTCCAGATTCGTTCCCCCTCCACCTCATCATCCTACCCAATCTCTTACACCCGCGGAATGCACTTTTCGCTGTCCCCACTTCAATGTCCGGACACCCCATGAAGGCGATCTATATTCCTGGTCTTCATGCTGCTGAGAGATTTGCTCCAAACCCTTGTTTAAGGATTCGTTGATGCACACGTGGCCACCATTGCTCGAGTGGTTCTCGAATTCAGTGATAATTGCTCGAGTGGCCTCGCCAGGGGATTCTCAACGTCTTTTTTTTTAGAATGAACATTACCCTTCAGGGGTATCTATCCTCGAACTTCTGTATTGGTTATTGCGCGATCTTATATATCTGAAATATATGTTCGTGACCCTATATGACCGCGCCTGATTGGACGCTCATGTAATCGACCAATTCCTGCGCGGATATCATGGTCGCGGCGCATAATATTTTAATGCCCGATCATATATTTCCGCAGTTATAAAATGCAATGCCCTTAATGACCGCGCATGATTGGTCAATTATATGCGCGGTGCCCTTTTTTGAATTGCGCGTCCAATCAGGCGCGGTCATATAGGGTCACGAACATAGATTTTGGATACTTAAGATCGCGCAGTAACTAGTACAAGAGTTTCAGGGGTAGAAAGCCGTGTAGGGTAATGTGACGGGTTAAAAAAAGCCTGTGGGAATCCCCTGGCAAGGCCACTCGAGCAATTATCACTGAATTTGAGAACCACGCGAGCGAATGATAGCCACGTGGGCAACGCTAAATCTCC